CATGTTAAAAAAAAAAAAAAAAAAAAAAAATTTTGAGGTTACTGTATAGTCACTAGATGTCTGCATAGCCTTTTATATAAATATACGGGCTGTAATATCTAGATGATGGTTGTCTGATCTTGACAAAATAAAATATAAATGTTTTTAACAGTTTACAGTAAAATATAATTGAATAGTCTAACAGTTTTATTTGTATATTTTTTTACTAGCATTAATTCAATATTCAGCTTTAATATTAAGTAACAAAAAATATTAGTATGTAAACATATTTTTGCCCTCCACCAAAAAAAATCTTGAGTGTGAATAAAATAGTTACTTATTTTACATCAGTAATATTGACAGCTGTAATATTAAGAATCATGTATAACATATTTTAATATCATTTGCAGAAAGAAGCTGAGATTATAGGTCAATTCACACTGAACCAACAGACGGCAACAGAAATGTTTGTTGGTTATGCCTGATCGGTGTGTTACCGCTGTCTGCATCTGTTGGTGTTGGTTGGCTCTTGTTTTTGCCAACTGAACTGCAGAATCAAATGTTTGTCGGGTCGTGGAATATCTGAGGGGTGAGGTACTGTAATCTGGTGATTGTCCACATTGGTCAGCGTGTATCATTGCAGTGTGAACTGGCCTGTATAATAATGGTACTTTCTATTTCCTGAACCCTTGAATGCATAAATGGGGTCATAAAATATTAGGCAAAAAAAGTACTAAACACACTCCACAGCTCACATGATAATGCTAAATTGGCGGCGGATGTAGTACATTCAGATTGCATTCATACTAATCACATTCATGTCTGATGATATTTCACTCATACTGTACACATGTATAATTTTTTAACAGTCATGAAGTTCTCAAATGTACAACCTACTCAAACAGTATGTGATTTCAGATGCAGTAGATGAGATGAGAAAGGCCACAGCAAAGGACAGCTGAAGGTCCAAACAAAGGAAGAAGTTCATACTCTGCCCAAAATATATGCTTAGAAAGCTGCAAATCTGATGTGAAATGTTCTGTCTCTGCCTCAAAAGATCATTTTCACATGGTCTGTGAGAAATGTGGAGAGTGAAGGCTCAGTCGAGAACATACTTTAGATCTAAATTAGTTTGGAGTTTGTTTAGGAAAAGTGCATTAAAAAAAAAAAAAACTCTTCTTTTTACATGCATATATAAAAGTGGACAAATAAAGATGTTTGATATATTAAAACATTTGTACCATCAATTGTTTTAGATATTTCAATAAGTCACCTATTTTTCTTTTTCATTCATTCCATTTTGACCCCTTTATGCATTTGTGCTGTTTTTTGGTTCATGCATTCTAAGGTTAACATGATGTTGTGTTCCTCAGTGTTTTTTGGGACACTTTTGATGCTGTTGAGTTTGAGTCCACAGCAAAGACATCTGAAGAACTTCGTGTACTGCTGCGTAACCTGGACAGGAATGAGACAAGAGGAGCTGAGTGACTTCATGAGATCAATTTACCCTCTGAAACTCATGAACAAGAATGGAGTTTGTTTATAATAAACATGTAAGAAAAGGTGTTTAAAGAAACTAGAGTGGAATTTCTGAAGTAAATACTGAAGCTTTACTTTTCTTCCATATACTGTCTCTGGACAGTATTTTTTTCTGAAACAGAAAAAAAAAGGATGTGAAATTCTGATGTTGGCTTGAGAAAGCCGGGCCTAAATGTTTGAGATACACTGTAAAAAATAAGTGTAATTTTAACTGTAAAATTTTGTAAAAACGCTACGCTAAAAAACTGTTAATAGGTTAGTTATAAGTTCCCGTACTATATACAGGGAAAAACTGTAAAATATCTAACCAGACATTTCATGTAATTTTACAGTAAAATGCTGTTAATTTTACAGTTTTTAGAAGTAAAAATAACAAATCAATGTATAATTTACAGTCAAAAACTGTAAACTGATATTCCCAGAATTCCCTGCATGACACTCCACATTTGAAAGTATTTTATTTAAATAATCATGTTTTTTAAATAGTTTTTGTTATTAGTTATGTATATTTGGGCTTTATGTTACATCTTCTGTCGTTTAATGAAAGTTTAATGCATTATTTAAGTATCATGTGTGTTACCATGATGGTGTTTTGTGTTTGCATGAATGACTCTCTGCACCTTCTATATATTAGTATATACTTCTGCTTGTGGCGAAGCTACTTGTGATGAGCTTTGATTCTTCATGTGGCTTTCTCTTTTACCACCTGCATTATTATGGTGGTTGTCAGTATGTTAAAGGTACAAAACAGATTTTAATAGCAGTGTGCATTGTTGAATTTACTGGTTTACATTCAAATTTTCTTGTTTGTAAATTACAATTTTATACTGTAAAATTTATTTTTATACCGTAAATGTGTTTACAGTTTTTCTGTATTTTTTACAAAATTATTCTGGCAACCACAGCTGCCAAAATTATTTTGTAAAAACTACAGAATTTTTTTTACAGTGAAGTTTTTTGACATTCGAGTCACATCTAATCTGTAAGATTGGGTCACAGAAACGTCTGCGTGCTTCATTTCTCCTGAATTTCTGTCTCCACAAATTCTGTTAAAGGACACTAAGAGCAAAGCCAAATTTAGACCAATTATATCTTGATCCAAGAATGGAATGCGTTAGGCGACTAACAAAATTAGATTTTACATTCCACTCCCAAGTTTCTTTTTCATAATGCAAAACTGCTTTTAGGGGGCCGACCCATTTCTTTCCGCGACTGCACTAAGAGAGGCTTATTTGTTAATTTCGAGACTTGAAAGACCAATTTATCTTCTAGGATCATCATGTTTCTTTCAGAGCATCTCACAAGTTCATGCATGCTCTCAAAGCTTATGCGCCTTGAGTTTGACTCTGTCATCCCTGCATGAAGTGTTTGGAGCCCATGGACTCCAAATGATTTCATTACATCTTCTGTTGTTTAATGAAAGTTTAATGCATTATTATGGTGGTTGTCAGTATGTTAAAGGTACAAAACAGATTTTAATAGCAGTGTGCATTGTTGAATTTACTGGTTTACATTTAAATTTTCTTGTTTGTAAATTACAGTTTTATACTGTAATATACTATACAGTTTTTGGCCGTAAATGTGTTTACAGTTTTTCTGTATTTTTTACAAAATTATTCTGGCAACCACAGCTGCCAAAATTATTTTGTAAAAACTACAGATTTTTTTTTACAGTGTAGTTTTAAAAGTTTGTTAAATCATTTAATATTTCTATATTCAACATTTTTTAAAACAAACATTAATCTTAACATGAATGTATGGATTTAATTGCACTCGTGCCACCTCTGAGCCTCATTAAACGTCTGAAAATACATCTACAAGCCACTTTTGTGTTCTTCTGTGCCACCTCTGTAGTACAAATT